TGAGTCGCAACCCATGAGTTGTTGCCCTACAAAGTTTGATTTCCCATTCAATTGAGCTCTGTTTACCCTTGGTCTGGGGATTGGTCCCAGGGAGAAACTTGATGGATCGATGTTTCCAAGTGCAGATCCCTGCAAAACATATTAAAACCTGTCACATTACTGGGGAGGGGGGCATTGAGGTACTAAATATATGATGATTCTGGACCTCTTTCCCTTGCACACCCACCAACTCAGGAGTTCTCCCCATGGTCCAATGACTGCCCCTTTCACAACTTTGGTCATCCACTCTTTGCTTCTGATCACCTCTGAGGACCCCAGTCCTCAGAACACATGTGTGGACGACATTGAGGCAGGCTCTGTTCATTCAGCTGGCCTTTATGTAAAGCCCTTCCGGTGTAGACTCTGGGTTATGCCAGGTTGCCTGAAAACGAGGGTCCAAAATCATCATGGTGCTTAGTCCCTGGTGTGGTTCACTAGGCGCTGGGCAGAAACGTATTTGTAGTGTCTACGCAAAAACATAAAATTTGTAGTGTCTACCCAAAAACATAAAATCTGGTCCATAGTCCCTCTAGCTTCCCACCAATCATTGTTTAGCATCTCTTCCTATTGTGAGGTTACTTTCCCCCCCTGTCACCCACCATATGACTGTTGTTGGGTTTTTTTTTTATCATTTTATTGGGGATCATACAATTCATCACAATTCATATATACATCAACTGTGTAAAGCACACGCATACATTTGTTGCCCTCATCATTCTCAAAATTCGCTTTCCACTTGGGTTCCTGGAATTAGCTCCTCATTTTCCTTTTTCCTCTCCCCCTCCCTCCCCCCTCCCCCTCCCTCATGAACCCTTAATAATTTATAAATTATTATTATATCTTATCTTACACTGCCCGGGGTCTCCCTTCACCTACCCTTCTGTTGCCCATTCCCCAGAGAGGAGGTTTTATGTAGATCCTTGTGATCGATCCCCCCTTTCTAGCCCCCCTTCCCTCCCGGTATCGCCACTGTCACTGCTGGTCCTGAGGGGTTCATCTGTCCTAGATTCCCTGCGTTTCCAGTTCCCATCTGTACCGCTGTGCATCCTCTGGTCTAACCAGGTTTGCAAGGTAGAATTGGGGTCTTGGTAGTTGGGGGGAGGAAGCATTTAAGAACTAGAGGAAAGTTGTGGATTTCATTTTTGCTATACTGAACCCTAAGTGACTCATCTCCTCCTCACTACCCCTCTGCAAGGTAAGTCCAGTTGTCTACAGATGGGCATTGGGTCCCCATCATGTTCCATCTTCATTTCTCCCCCGCCTTTGGTGCTTGAAGCCTGGTCCCTTTAGCCCTTCATGATCACACATGTTGGTGTGCTGCTTCCATGTGGGCTTTGTTGCTTCTGGGCTAGTTGGCCACGTATTTACTTTCAAGCCTTTAAGTCCCCAGATGCTATAGGTCTCGATAACCAGGCGCCATCAGCCTTCTTCACCACACTTATGCACACATTCGTCTTCAGCGTTTATGTGGGGAAGATGGTCACACAATGATGGTTTTTGTTCTTTGGTGTCTGCTACCTGATCCCTTCAACACCTTGTGTTCACACAGGCTTGTGTGTTTCTTCTCTGTGGGCTTTGTTGTTTCTGAGCTAGATGGCCGCTTGTTTGCCTACAAGTGTGTATTTTTAAAGATAAAAATATATTGTGAATTTAGGCTAATATTTTTAATACAAACTCAAGATCACAACATTTCCTATAATCACTTTTATATTACAGCTATATCTTCTGTGTTTCCCAGTGAGAATTATAGTTCTCTAGCACTAGGAAAAATAAAATATCAGTAATTGCTTCTTTACCTTATCCTAAACTACACACACAATAGTTTCAGAATAACAATATCCCAACAAACATTACCATTTATGACTAATAAAACCCGTTACATTTGGGGTGGATGGGTATATGCTATCATCCTTTTCTCCCTTAATTTCTATCATTATAGTCTGCCTGTATTATCAGAATGCATAGCCACTATCTGCTATACTTTTTGGTTTCCCCTTAGCTTTAGTTTTAAAAATGATCTCCATTTAATTTTGGCCAACCGTCCTTATGGTAGCGTCACTCTAGACATTGAATTTCCTGGATTGGCCTCCATTGGCCTGTGATCTTCTTGCTTCCGGGTTCATCATTCTGGAATGTGTCTGAGTTGAGAAGAGCTTCCCTCCAGCAAGCATCTGGCCATGGACTCGAGGCAGACTTGGCTTCCCCACTCTGTGGCTGCTTGGGTCCATTCCCTGATAAAAATTTACTTTGTACACATTGATGAGTGTCACTGCTTTAGTTTCTCTAGAAAACCCAGTCTAACACAACTTGCTATTATTTTGGAGGTCCCCAGTGCTCAGAGACATCAGAGATCAGGATGTTTCCTTGTGTTTCCCTCACATATGTTCACATAGTGCAAATCTTACAATTTAACCCCACTGCCATATTATAGAGTTCAAGGACTGCTTACTTCTCTTCTAAAGATTGTTCATGGGTTTTGTTTTTTCCATTTATTTTCTTATGCTGCTCCCTTTTTTAAAAAAATCATTTTATTGGGGACTCATACAACTCATCACAATCCATACATACATCAATTGTATAAAGCACATTTGTACATTTGTTACCCTCATCATTCTCCAAACATTTGCTCTCCACCGAAGCCCCTGGCATCAGCTCCTCATTTTCCGTCTACCTCCCTGCTCCCCCCTCTCTCATGAGCCCTTGATAATTTATAAATTATTATTTTGTCATATCTT